ACCTCCACTGCTGAAGACAGTGTGCAAGTGTCTCTGCCTTACATGTTTGACTCGCAGTGATGCCAGAGCAAAAACGTGTACACAGTTAGTACAGCTTGGCTGACAGATGGTGACATGCAAGCTATGGTGTCTGTGTCCTTCCAGTAGGCATCAAAATCATTAAGGACTGTATATGTAAATTCCACATCTATTAAGCCAAAGGGTTGTAGGTTCTCATGTAATTCAGGTAGTTGCTTCTCCATGTGGACCAGCTCCGTTAGTTTTTTTCTTTATGTTTTTTTTTTTTTTCCAGGGTTTTTTTTACCCTTGGGAGCTATAAAAGTGGTGCCTGTTGTTGTACCAGAAGTTCATTGAAAATTGTGAATTCAATTTTCCCTAAAGTAACAGAAGGCAAATTCTGTCCCAGTGGCATTATCACAGTCATTATTGTATTTAAATGTTGTTGTGACACCATATGTCTCCTCGTATTTGATGTGTGCAAACACAAGAGAGAGTTCCTGTCTGTGAAGGCTTGTATAGTCTAAATACGTCTGATCCTTGCTCTTTGCGTAGCAGACTACTGTGATAGACTGTAAAGCACTTATCTTCAGTTGAGATAGCAATGTGCAGCTGAAACTTTCTTGAAATTTTGCCAGAGAAACCTAAGTAGGGATATTTGATTTGCTTGTTTCAAACCAAATAATTATTTTTCTGGAGGAAATTTAAGCGCACATTCTGATAGAAGTGGTTGGACATGAGAATAACTAAAAACTGTGTAAAAGTGCTGCAGATGTCTGCAACTCATGCACATCTACTGCTACTGACATAGTATTTTCATGGGGTGGTAATTCCTGGCGTACCAATAGCACTAAGTACCATAAGGAGCAAGTATTGCTACCAAAACCATGTACAGGTCAGTTGGGATTTTTACTGCTTAATGCATGCAGTGACCACTGGACCTCATTTCGCAGTCAGAAGGCGTTGCCCAAGGAGACTTCCTCAGAACTCACTGAAGTTCATTGAAAATTGTCAATACTCAGTTTCTGCACTTCAAAAGCACCCGTGTAGTCAGGAGATTTCCCACCCCACCCTTTTACTTCAGGAGATGTTCAGTAATCTGAGCGCAGAATGAATGCCAGAAATGTCATCTGAGAGGGAAAGTCAGATTAAGTTTCTAAAGCAAAAAAAGTGCAGTCTAAGCCAACATGAGCAAAAAAAAGGTATGTAACACCTAAAAGCCACTAAAGCTCTTACAGTCCTCTGAGTTGGCACTAAGAGGGCAAAGGAGCTGTGGGGCAGCAGGAGGTGGAAGACAGTACGGTGACAGGGGCCTTCTTTTCCCATCTGCGAAGACTTCTTGTGCTCAGATACAGTGGGTCAGTAGATTCTCTGTTAGTTCAGTGCTTAAAGTCCCAAATGGGATCTTATTACATGAAAAAACCCCTCATGTTCTATTCCAACATGGCATTATTTCTCTAGAGCCAAAAAACCACTTGAATGTTAATTTAGTATTTAACTGTTGGTGCTCACAGATTTGAGCATGCATTTCCACTTCTCTGTTGCTGACTTCTCAGAAAATTATTGCTGAGAGTGGTTGAAATGCTGTACTGCATATCAGTGAGAACAAGACTGACTTTTTCTACCTTGGATCAGTTTCTGATGGGACAGCAGTCTTGAATGACACTTCTGTGCTCTTCCACAATGTCCTGGGTTCAGCTGTAACAGTTCTTTTTCTCCTCCCAAGTAGCTGGTGCAGTGCTGTGTTTAAGCTTTAGTCCGCAAACAATGCTGATAACACACCAGTGGTTTACTCGTTGCTAAGTAATGTTTGCCCTGATAAAGGACTTTTCAGTCTCATGCTCTGCCAGTGAGGAGACGTACAAGAAACCAAGAGGAAGCAGAGGCAGGACACCTGACCCAAACTAGCCAAAGGGTATTCCATACCACAGCACAGCATGCCCAGTATATAAATGGGGGGTTGGAGTTACCTGGAAGGCCCAGATCGCTGCTCGGGTCGGGCTGGGTATCAGTTGTGGGTGGCGAGTGGTTGTATTGTGCATCACTGCTATTTATTGTTTCTTTTTTCGCTTCCCTTTTTAGTGTTGTATTCTCTCCCCTTGTTATTTCCCTTGTCATTATTATTAGTAGTAGCACTAGTAGTTTTATATTATACTTCAGTTATTGGACTGTGCTTGTCTCAACCTGTGGGGTTTACATTCTTTCAATTCTCCTCCCCATCCAGCCTAAAGGGGGGAAAATGGCAAGGAGATGAGCAAATGGCTGCATGGTCCTGAGTTACTGACTGAACTTGAGCCACAACACACAGTGATAGTATTTCCTGATATTAAAACATCTCCTTCCATATCTTCCCTCCTTCGACTTGCTTAATGCCATCCAAAGCAGGACAGTTATTTAGGATGGATATTTGATTAGTATGCATACTGTGTACTTGGATAATATATAGCCTTGTGCTGTTGGGGCTGTATCTCTTATGGATAGAAAAATATGTGTGCTGTAGCTAACAGTAAGCATGCAGTTATTGCGGAGAGTCAGAGATATCTGCATTCATCAGAAAATGGTATCTGATCCCTTGCTGACAGGAGGTGATGGCACACAGAAATTTATAGTAAGGTGAAGTAATGTCGCAGTTTACAGTTTTTCCTTGAGGAAGTCTGTTTTGGGTACAGTGCACCTTGACAGGAGCCTGCTTAGCAGCATGATGTAAAACTGCAGCTGCTTGAGGAGGTGAAAGAGCGGGATGCCTCTCCAACCACCCTACAAGAAGCTCTAATCCCATTCTGCAGTCCAGGAGCTCCAGGGTTGAGGTATCTTCCAGATACAGCAAAATAAAGCTCAGAGCCATTGGTAGCTTTTTTACCTCCTCACATAGAATAAAATGAGAATAAGAATAAAATGAGAATAAGAATAACATAGAATTATAATAAAGTGAGACTATAATATAATAGATATAAATATGAATTGAATGTTTCAGGAAGGGATCTACAGTGATCATCTAGTCCAACCGCTTGACTAATTCAGGGCTGACCAAGTTAAAGCGTGTTGTTAAGGGATTGTAGAAATGGCTCTCAAACACTGACAGGCCTGCGGCATTGACCACCTCTCTAGGGAGCCTGTTCCAATGTTTGACCACCTTCTCAGTAAAGAAATGCTTCCTAATGCCCAGTCTAAACCTCCCTGGTGTAGCTTCGAACCATTCCCACGTGTCCTATCACTGGATGCCACCAAAAATCGCTTGGCACCTCCCTCTCCTCATCCCCTCCTCAGGAAGCTGTAGAAAGCAATGTATGTCTTACCTAAAATCTCTCTGTATCTGACGTAAATAGCCCCTTTATGGCCATGCCTTATAGCACAGTAATTCAAGAGTATTTCTGTCTGTTTGGAACCTTGTTCAGTGTCTCTTGCATACAGCTGACTGCACAGTCCTCCAGGCCTTATAGAAGAGGGAGGGTACATCTCCTCCTGAAATTAGTTTCCGCCTGCAAAGCACAAGAAGTCACTGTATAAAGAGTCACTTTATCTCCAAGATACCTGCCAAGGGTGATACCCACTGTAGAAATGTATGTCAGGTCATGCTTTCTGGCTAAGCAGCAACATATCATGAACTACGTCTGTCCCTACATGACTGAGCAAAAGTAGCAAAAGAATCTGTACATGGTCCTAGTTTGCAGCAAGGGGCTAGAGAGACATGCAAGCTACATACGTTGACTCTGGTGGAAGACAGTGCATGTGAGGGTATGTGATGGACCAGCTTGCCTGTAACAGCTGGGACCTTCTACGTGCCTCAAACACATGAAAATGTGGGTCCCAGGTTCTATGGCAACAGTGCTGACAGTTGCCCGTCCAGATTTTGGCACACCAAAAGGCAGTTCTAGGAAGAGTCTGAGTTTCTCAACCCCAAGCCCCTGATCTGTCCTGATCCTTGACAAAGTCCCCCAAAAGGTAGAGGTGCAGCGACACAAGGAAGCCTGTTGTGGGAACTGGTGCCGTTATCATCTTCGGCAGCAGAATTCCGATCAAATGTTTGAAGTTGTGTCCAACTCTGCTGGCAACACCCTAGTAGACTGCTGGTCAATGTCCACCCTAGATAGGGGTAGACATTCACCAGCATCGAGCTAAAGCATTATCAGGGGGACACCTTTCAGAGGGATTTGAGTATCAGTGTCAACATTGGCAGTGTTTGTACAGCTGAATGAGTAGAAACAAAGCTTGTCTCTGTTCCCTTTTAGATACACTGACACCCCCATGAAGTATGTCTTCAAAAAGCACTTTATGTCAATAAGGGAAGTTAAGTTTGAGCTCTGTTTATTTTGGGTAGGTTTTTAATTTAGTTTAATCAGGATTACTCATAAATTGTCTATTAATTACTATGCGATATTCAGCAAGATCCTTTCAGCCATGTAGTCTACTTAGATTCTCTGTGAATGCTAGCCATCTTAATTGTAGGATACTTTGTCAACATTTAATCAGTGGTACTTACTAATGTGGCATTGATGTGTTGGTAGCTGTCCCAGTACTATCAATCATGTGCAAGCAGCAAAGGCAGCTGTGACACCATTGCTCTCTGTCACATTATCAAGCCCTTGGGTTTTCTGGTTAGGGATGATGCTCACTTTGCTCTAAGCAGGCACTCTATCTCTCCAGTTCAACCCAATTTTTGTCATTGTCGGCTTGAATACACATCCTTGAAGCCTTCTGAGCCTTAATCCCATAACTGCAGAATAAAGGTTGCTAGTTTCTGAAGGCAAAACTGATTGCTCCTTCACTGCTCCAAAGACCTGCTCTTCCCGAAGTTGCCTTCCTGATAAGTCACAAAAGCCCTAATACTGATTGCGGCATGAGATCTAACAGAAAATTCAGTGTGTTCAGACAAAATAAGTATACTTACTTTCCTTCTTTTTTTTTTATTTCTAGTTACTAGATGCACCGTTTAACATGCTGCAGAGCAAAAACTTGTGTTTAATGGTTGTATCACAAATATTCTTTGTCTCATTTCCTTACAGTCTTTATGGTAGACACATGCAGGCGAATCCTGAACCTCCAAAGAAGAACAATGACAAGTCAAAGAAGATCAGCCGCAAGCCTCTGGCAGCCAAGAACAAATAAGTCTCTGGCTTCTGCCTGTTTTTATGTCTTACATTGCTTTTGCATGTGCCTATAATACTCCTATGCATCTCCCGTTACTCATAAGAAAGCAGACAGTAGCAGTAGAAGCAATTTACTATGTATACTGCTTTAGAAGATACTGCTGAACACAAAATTAAATATTCCTCTAATTATGGTCACATTTATGTAGCCTTTTAATATATCACTGTCAAACACGTTTTAGCTTTTCTATTTATATGTATATTAATGTCCTCTCTTCACATGTATCACGTCCTGTTAACATCAGGGGGGTTGCACCTATATTGTACAATATTGAATTTCATATAATATTCCAAGTGATTTTAATAAAGGTCTTTCTTTGTATTGTGTTTCGATTTCTTTGGTCGGACTTATGAATAGTGAATTTCTGGATGAACGGGTATGTCCAGTTTCCTGCAATGTGTTAATTTCTTGTGTAGGAATATGATAGCATTTTATCAGATACAAATTACTCAAAATTTAAAGCATTCCATTCCAGGAGTAAAAAATGTTAAGAGGTTTCTATTTCTTTTTTGCATTGCTGTGTCCTGCTTTTTTGTCTTGGAGGTTATTTTGAAATCAAAGGGTAGGGGAAGGTAGAGAGGAAAGGAAAAAAATTGTCTTTGTAAAGAGCTGTCAATTGCCAGCCCCAATTTGGGGAAAGAGAACTTTGTCATTTGATGAAAATGGTATTTCTGCCAGTTTTTTTAAGGGTTGGGTTTTTTTTTTGTTAGGCAGAAAACCCAAATAATGTATTTAATCTGTGCTGAAAGCGCCTGTATTGAAGAGCTGTTCCAAATGGCTTTTGAAAATGCCACAGGTTCTATATTTATCTGTACAAAGCCAGCACCATAACTAAGCTCAGAAGCCACAAATTGTTTAACATCTCAAATAGCTTCAGGTCTTAACTGACAGGGAATAAAAACCTAAAATCTACAGACAGTGATTTCCAAACAGTTTTAGTCGTAGCAGAGGAGAAGCTAACCAGGAAACTCAAGGAACAAGAACAGTTATTCATACCTAGATTGCTCGTGCCAGGACCTTCCTGCCCGTGATTTCCAATGTCATGAATTTCATGCCTGAGCAACCCAGCACTGAGTTTCGGCTGCCATCCGGACAGCAAGCCAGGAAATACACCCAGACTGCCAAAACAGGCCCGTGGTGTTCAGTGAGAGAAGAAAAGGTTTAAAATATCTCATGCTAGAAATTGTATTTTCTAAAAAAGCCATTTTGTTTCTCAAGTCTGTTACCAGCACCAGCCTCTTGATCGCATTTAAGATTACCCCAGCATTTAAGTAATACATGACTGCCTTAGTCTGGGAATAAATGTATTGACATATATTTTGCAACAGATTTTTTAAATTGGCAAGCAGGAAGTTGGCATCAAGCTTTAGACACATTTTAAGTGGTCTTTGGTACTTGAGAAGAATGAGGCAGTCTCGATAGGCAGATGGAAATAAGTAAAAATGGTAGACTTGTCAGAAACAGTCAGTTCTATCTGTCACAAGCTCTGCAGAGGATTTTCCAGACCTCCTAAATTATCTGTCTAGGGGAACCAGGTCCAACTGAAACAAGCCCTTGAAGGCAGTAGCTTGGGTACATGTTAAGAATTCACAACAAAAACTGGCCCCGGCTGGAATGCACACAATTAAATCTAGTGCCGGCATTAACACATGAGGGTACCTAATGACAGTAATAATTGTGCTTCAAAAAGCCCTGAAGAAATGTCAGTGAAATGTCAGAGGATCCCCAAACTACCATTGCAGATTCCTTTTGGAACAAAATAAATAGCAAGGGCACATCTATCGGGAAGAGGATCTAGATCCTTCCCCCAGTATCCTCTGCTGGCACTGAACACGATGGGGTGGCAATGCCCACAGGGCTGACCTGCTGCTCTTCTGACAGATTCTGGCAGCTGTGGATAGACCCCTAATTTGAGGCTTGAAGATGTTTTACGTATGCTGGCTTCCAGCTAAACTGGATTCACCGCTCCTCTGAAATCTCCCTGGGTACCCTTGGACATGTTTTTCTGTGAGCAATATTGCTCTCCTTTGATACAAACACAAATCCAGCCAGAGATAAAAGCATCTGGTGGTGTCCAAGACTGTGTCTGTCACCTGCTCTGTGTCTTGGTGTTTATAAAGAGAGGAGTCGCCGTGGGGCTACAGGGATTTCAAAGCATGGAGTAGAGTCTCTAATGTAAAAATAAAAGCTTGTTGAGCAAGGCCTGCGATGGTGGTGGGAAGCTACAGCACCACGTTAAAATAAGCTGCTGATTTTCAGGCATTAGTCAGACTGCCATTAACTGGAAGTGTTGAAGGACTCGTGCAAGCTCTCCTCTGCAGGGTTTCCAAGTATTGAGAGGAGCATTCCTGGGTGTTTGTTCAGAGCAAAAAAATCCACCCAACCTTCCCACTTCTTCTCCCCTGAAGGAGGAAGAAACACAGTTTTGACAAGCAAAATTAGGAATGAAGGGTCTGGGGAAGAATAAGTGAAAGGCGTAAGATAATAAGAATAAAAGAAATCCTAATGGCAGAAGTACTGGAGAGAGTGACAGATGGGGAGAAAAGAAGTGTCTTGAAAAAACAGATGAAAAATAAAAAGATAATGATCTGAGAAGATGATGGAAAGAATGAAACATATAAGCTTTACAAACAGAAACAAATGGGGCAAAGGGGTGCTCTTCAGAGGCTCAGGGCAGGGTAAAAGACATGAGAAAGAAAAGCAAACCAGCTGGGATGTAACATGCTAATGTTTTAGGGTTTTTAAAGGTACCAGCTTCCTAGAGCAAGCTACCCAACAGTTTGAACATGAGTTTGATGATTTTTAGGTATCTGTTCTCTAGAGCTGTTGCTTTTTTAATATTTAAATATAAATATTTATTTATTATTTATTATATTTTAATATTTAAAATAAATATTTGTTTTGTGTTACTGGGCCACATTGGTTTCCTCACTGTACTTGAAGGGGCTGCTGTGTCCTACTGCGGTGAACCAGTTAATGAGCATCACAGCTCATGATGGTCCCTCTGATAGTCCCAATGGTCATTTTTCCAGTGGATCCATCAAACTGGGGCTCTTTCCAGTGAGCCCTTGGGTGCTGCCCCAAGGCGAGCAATTGTGTTGTGCTTACTGGAGCATAGAGCTCTGTAAAGGCAGCTCTTTGCTCCTCTGGTCAGTGCTATGTCACTGGCCTGGCTGATGCTGAGATTTCCTGATCGCAGGATGCCTTGAGAGGACTATTTTGCCATCCCTTCTTTCATTGTCACTGTTTCAGGTTGCCTCTTTGGGCCAACCTCTCACACAGCCAACACCATTGACACTTCAAGGGGAGGAAATTATTCCTGTGAGAAGGAAAGTTGCTTTTTACAGCTTTCCAGCACCTGGGAGCTCTTTGAAAACAACAATGCAACTCATTCTCTAGTTTAATTTTGCATACAGTGAGCTGGAAAGAGTTTGGTAATGTTTTTGCATACAGTGCACCCTGACAAAGAAAACTTTTTGAAATTACCAATATGCTGTGCCATTGCAAAGAGTGGCCTGGGGAATTAATGCATCTTGCTAAGGATAGGGCAAAATGAAGCCAGAAATCCCACATGTGCAGGCACTATCCACAGTTTACTTGTACTTACAGTATTGCCTCCTGCAGTCCACCTGATAGACAGGTAACAGTTTAAAAAACCAAACACTCCACAACCCAAACCAATCTCAGCTCTGGCAACTTGGGCACTGCTGTTGTTTTTCTTCTTATCTGAGAAAAACTGTGGGCAACAACGCAGATTCCAAACTTTTGCCTTTTTATGATTGTTAGTCTGGAAATACATTTCCCGTGGAGTCACTGATATTCAAGCATCTTTACTTTGGATTTAAACAGGTCTTTCCTATTAAGGAAATTACACCGTAGCATCTGTTCATCAATTAGCTGCCAGCCTTAGAGCTGCAAATCACACCAGCAGCACGGGCACTTCTTCTGAGACGGCAGCTTGTTTGGGGGTGCGATCAGAGCCAGTGTGCCCCTCGCCTCTCCTTCCTCCAGCACCTCGTATCCATCCCCTCCATCCTCCTCCTCTAGGCTCTCCCCACCACACACAGGGCTGGGTGCTGGGCTCTACCTCTGGGGAGAGGTAGAAACCTTCCTCCTGCTCTGCCAGAGGAGCAGAGTGAGGTCAGGAGGCATTTCCAGCCCCGGGAATGCTGGCGCATGGCTCAGTGCTGGTATGAAAGCCGGGAGGGTGAGTCTGTGCCATTCCCACGCGTGCTGAGCAGCAGGAGCTCCGGAGATGGGTAATATTTCCAGTTTGGAGCGGGTGGGAACTGTTAATATCCTCATGACAACCAGGAGGAGTGAGATTGTCATCAGTTATATTAGTTGTTAATTTAGTAAATATTAACAATTTCTGGGGTTATGGCACAGGATGTCAGCTGTCAGCTTGCTTTGTTTTTCTCCTACCTCTCTTTGCAGTGACACATCTTTCATACTCCCGGATTCGTGCCATGTGTTCGTTGCCTCGTGCTGACACCAGCGTTGGCAGATGTTCTGGGATAAAGCCATGATAACCTCCCAAAAGCTAGATTTTCATCCCCTCCTGGGTACTTTGTTTCCTCTGATCTAAGGAGAAGTAATCTGCCTATAAAGCACAGTGATTTATAATGCCTGTAGTTGGTTTCCATCCCGCCTCCCCATCCAGCTCACCTGTGAGTGCCGCACGCAGGCACCGCCATTCCCCGTCTCCCTCGGAGCAGGGACTGAGTTACAGCCTGGCAGGAGCTGCTTCCCTATTGTGCAGAAGCCCTTATAATTGACATTTTTACAATACACCTCAAGAGCAAAATCTTAACTGTATTTTTAGACCCAGGCACACGGTAATGTGCGAGTGCCAGCCACGGTAGTCACCCCTGCAGCTTGACAGACGTGTTTGAAAGCAGCTTTAGCAATGAGTTGTGACTGGGGACAAGGAGCCGAGGAAGGCAGCTTTGCCAGGGCACCTTGGCTCCCTTGCTGCTGGTGAGAGCCCCTCTGCCTGCTCTGCTCCACTCCTGTGCTGCCAGCATCCTTGAGTGCACAGCTGGTGTGCAGCCGAGCAGGGGGGAGCCCCAGGGCACGTGTAGCTTTTCCTGACATCCCAGTTCCTCAGGATAATGTTTCAGATGGCCCGGTGCTGGGGCAGCTGAGAGCACAAGTTGCTGGGAGCAAAGCCCTGGCTGGATGGCTGCTCACAGGGGTATGAATCTGCCACTGAGCTGCACCCTCCAGCCTGGAGGGATTCTTTCCTCTGGATGGCAATATGCAAGCACTGGACAAAAATACCCCCGTGGTTTCAACAGTCATTGCAAGGGCTGCAAG